GGGAGGGGAGTAGTGCTCCCCTCTGTGAATAGCAACCGCGCTACTACCCCCTCCTCTCTCGTCCGGCGGGTCTCAGTGGGACGGAGGCAGCTTACAGGCCCGTGCAGGCAGGGGGATGTCACCCCCTCTGCTCGTGAGGGCGCGGGGGCGGCGCAGGGGCGGCGCGGGGGCGGCGCGGGGGCGGCGCCGGCCGACAAGAAGGCCAGCGGGCAGGCCGAGCGCCGCGCCCCGCGCGCCCTGCAGTCTTCCTCGCGTGCCCGGCGGCCCAACAGACCGTGTCCTTGGCGGGTGCCCGCCGCGCATCCCTTCAGCCCTTGCGTTCGTGACGTCAGCCTGCAGGCCGACGCCTGCTGGGACGCCCTGCGCCGCCAACCCGATAATGGACAACTACCAGGGCCTCGTCGGGCTGCTGCGGAGTGCCATCGGAAAACCGCGGGTGGCGACGCTCCCCGAGCACCCCGTGATGCGTTTCGTGGAATGGGCGCGGCGGCAGAGGTTCAAATCGAAGATGACGGCCGGATGAGCTGCGGACTCGCCATAGTGCCCCCTCCCCCCTCTCCTTATTTCCTCTCCCAATGCGTTGTCCTCGCGCTTATGTAACGCCGGTAGCGCCCGACGCCACGCCACGCCCGCTTCTATAGACCCCACACCTTAACTTTTGACGACGATAGACGAGGCGAGGAGGTGGCTCTGTCTGCTAGACCTAGCTACCTAGAGTCGGATGGTGTATCGTAGGCGACCCTGGACCCATTGCCTTACACCTCCAGACAGACCTTCGCTAGAAGTAGGCGAGCACGGCCAACACATTCCATCGCCTACACGCGACATGAGTTTGCTTAGGACCTAATTGCTCCTCCGAGGCCGATAAGTGCCCCCTTGGCTAGCAAGCCACACGAAGCCATCACACCGTACCTTGTAGGCAGCCTGCCGGTATGTTTACCCAAAAGTGAGTCCGTTGAGTCTGTGTGTTCAAGGGCTAGGACGACTAGGAGGACGGGGAATGGGGGAGGGG